AGCAGGAAGGCCAGTGTGGGCTACAAAGCCAACAAGGAGGAGGACAGGTCATGGAGACAGGCTACTCCATCATCTCTCACTCCATCAGGAAAAGGGAGGTGAACTCCCTCTTTCACTGAAGGCCCTTGGTCTGACAGCTCTGGGGTGGAAGCAAAAGTTGGCATCTGCCTCCTGCTGTTCAGCTCAGACAAGGTCAGTAAAAGAGAAATTGATGACTGGGCGGTATTACTTGCACTTAGCTGGGACCTCAGAGGCTTCCTGAGGCTGCAGCAGGAGCCCTGTTCCTCTCCAAGGTTCTCCCACCTGGGAGGCTGAGTCCCTTGTGGAGAGTGTCCCACAGGGCCATCTGGTATACCATGGGAGAATGCCTCAGTTCCATTGCAGCACAAATCTCTCCACGTACATTCTCTGCCTTCTTTGTGAGAAATTGGCATCGAGACCAAATAGGATTCCAGTGTCTTTACATGAGCCTTTCAGCTCCAGAGTCTCTGAGCCCGAGCAGCGCTTTCTTCAGGATTTTTCTGTGTCTCGCACAAAAGACTGGTGCTTAGGGACTTGGGGTGAGGGAGTCTATAGACCTCACTGTCATGGACTTTCACTGTCAACATGGTCAATAGGGTCTTTCTCCAGGGGAGATCTGAATACATGGGTTCTGAGCCACTGGAGATCAACTTCCAAGTGTTTCCACAGTCTCTATGTCTATAAGAAGCTAAACAATGGAACACTTCATTTGGAAATGACTCTGAGAAGGCCAATCCAGAATACCAGGAGATTGGCTGTCATCAAAACAGAGGCTCCGAGGAGCTAATCTCACTGGTTCTGAAGACCACTTCTGCCTCTTTGGGCCCTTACATAATTATACCAAAGGTCGAAAGAGTGAGACTCCTGTGCGGGAAACCCAACTCAACTTTTGTTTATAGCAAAACACTCACCGTGTACTCTGGGGGTATCCTGGCACCGAACCCAAAGGCTGGGAACATTTTGTCACTGAAATTTAAAAAAAGAAGTTGCTACATTTGTCCATTTAATGAGGAAGAAAAACACGAACTTGCATTACCTTGCGAGAATAGGTCACTATGCCAAATACTGACTCATGCTTCTTGATTACCTGTGGTAACAGGGGATAGCAATAGTGTGCGCAACTAAAATCAAGAAATAATACCCAAAGTTCATCACTTTACTGCTTTCCTATACTATAGGTGAGATGATGGGCAGGAGAAGAATAAACATTGATTGGCACTACAATATGCCAGATATGATGCTAGGCCATGTACATACTTAGTTAATTTTCACACAATGTTTGAAGGTCCACCTACTTATTATTCTTGTTTTACTGATGAATAAACTGAGTCTCAGAAAGGCTAAGAAAATGACCTAAGGTGTTTACCAGTGAGCACTGTGTGATTCCAAAGCCAATGCCTTTTCTATTATACCATCATAACTTACTGATTATGTACAGCATTAAATGTGATTTCCTCTTGCACTTCCCATAACTGGGCCTCCTGACCAGATCACAAATAAGACTCTTCTTAAGCAAAATTTGTGCTGTCAGGGGATTGTTGCAGTGGGGCTCTGGAGTATTGCTCTTGGAAGAAGGCATGCCCCCCTCAGGCTATCTACCTTTTACTTTCTCTCCCATTAAAAACACAACTGAGATTTGTTCTTAGAATAGTTCCTCCATTTCGCAGTTCTTGCAGAGCCAGCCAAGGAGAAAAGGAAATTCAGATAAGGGCTCACTGTCCCAGAATATCTCTGGATGCAAAACGGGAGTCCCAAGCTGAGAAGTCAAAGGATCAAAGCCAGACTGTCATCCATCACTATCTAACTGATTTAGAAGTCATCAGTAGCCAATAATGGCTTTGATAGAACTTCACCAAAATATAGCCCATTTGACCAAATTTGGGGCAGGTGTTGGGAGGTACAGGGAAACCAGAATTCTCTGAAATCAACATCTAAATTTGCCAGAAAATCACCAGTTCCATCTTTCCCTTTCTATTGTGTAGATATGGGCTTCGTGGGGCATTGCATCTAGCAGGTATTAGAAAAGGTATTAATGATGATAAATAGAAAATCATAAAATCTTATAAAGGATTAACCACAGCTCTGAGAAAAAAATACGTCTGGTCCTTGGAAATATTGAAATACTTTGTCTCAGAAATTCCTTCTTAGCCAAGACAAGGGTGAGCAGATGTGGGGAGGAATCAGCAAGGGAGATTTTAGAGGTACTTTCTAGTTAAGTTTGGAAGATAACTGTTCTGGGTGGAGGATGGGTCCTGCTTCTTCCAACTCGGATGGCTCAGAAGTCAAAACAGAGAAACCTAGAAGGCTCCACATTTTTTAATTTCTTTGATAAGTTTAGGAGGGGTGAGATTTAATATTCCACCCATTTCTAATCACAAAACCAGTGTTCCAGATGTAATGATATTCCTTTTAACCCTTCAAGCCACCCTTGTGGATTTAAGCTTGTTGAGAATGATGCACTGTTACATAACCAAGTTTCAAGAGTAGGGAGGTAGGGAAAATGCCTCACCTACAAGGGGAATAATTAATGAGTCACAAAGACTCTAATAAACATACTAAAAAAAAAAAATTCAAGCCTAAGCACAATAGATTTAAGCATTCATTTTCCCTGATTAGAAATAGAACTAGGAAGAGAGGAGTTTTATTATGCAAGAGGCAAGGGAAGGCAAGCTGAGCACACAAGCAAGCATCAGCATGCCAACACATCAGGGAACTTAAGATAGGATTCAGCAGCACTGAGTAAAGGGGTCATTTAACAATTATTGAGGACTTGATTGGTAGAAACTTCCAACCTGGAAAATTCAGGGCAGATCACCACATTGCTGAAGGCAGTATTTCTTACTATTGGAATAAAATAGTATAAAATACTATCTAAGAGCCCAGGGTCTTCAGTGGCAATGAGCTTGATGTCTTGAACTTCT